GACAAGCCCCTCTTATACGGACCCCAGGTTCCTTTGATGTGAAAAAAACATACAACACAGATCAGTACAAATACAGTGAAGATATACATGTAAAATAAATCACACCAGAAAAGGGTTTTGTTTTCCCTTTTATTTTGTCTTTTATAAGCTTTCTCTTTTGTGTTCTTCTCTCTGTAACCAGGATAGAAGCTAGCAGCAGTGTTAAAGGCTTAACGTGCAAAACAATCACAACTTGTGAAAGAGTATTTCACCACCTCTGCCTTATCAGGCGATATCACTGCTATGGCAGTTGGTGTTAGAGAAGTCCATTCAATCTGCACACACACATATGCACTCCGTCTGTCTTCCTCTCTGACAAACCCACATACCACAGTGACTAACATATGACTGCAGGCTTCCAGAAATAAACCTGAGCAGCCCATAACAGCTGCATTCGAAGCATAGAGACAGATACACTGTACTGAAGATACTTGAGACTGATACACAGACATACTTTGTCTTCCAATGCTTTCATTCACTGGGGAGTTTATAAAATAGTAGAAAATAGGGTGGGTAATGTAGTGGGGCCTAAAGGGCACACCAGTCTATAAATACAGCCAGTGTACATGTCTCAAATATTTATGATGTGTCATACCATGGCTTTGGAGTAAATTTATCCAGAGAGTCTGTACTGCTTTGATTTAGAGACTAATTAAATCCAATAAAAAGTAAATAAGGGTAGCACCTTCAGCACTTTATCTATCTATTAACTACTTTATCACAAGTGTTCAGTGTGTTCAGAGAACTAAATCATACATGGAACAAAGTTTAACAACCATACGCTTTATCAGTCAGTCTTGTGCTTCCGTATACTATACACCGACACCTTCTTAAACAGTTGAGCAAAGGTCATACTGTATGCTAATATGCTCAGTCAGTGCAGACTTTGGTTAAGGTTCTAAACTTGTAGAACAAGCTTGTGGAAGCATTGCATCCACACCCCTCCTATTTAAACAGGATAGCCTATGAAATGGATGCAGATATTACCAGATACACATTGTACCGCTGCCAACAACGCATACCCTCAAATACTCTCTCTCCTGCCTATCTCAGTTTTCACAGGAGTTAAATTTAACCCATCATAAAAATAACCCTAAATATCCAGATGTGACCACGTAGACTAAAACATTTTCCTCTTTGGTAAAAGTAAATACAGTATAGCCTTCAAGTAAAAGAGAAAAAAAGAGGGAAGTCGCTTAGTCAGCAGTGTGGCTGACCACATGAACCTTAAACGCCTAAATAGAGAAGATTTTCTGAAGGATGTATAGGGTGGGGAGCTTGTGTCTGCATCTTCCTCCAAATCTCCATCATATGAGCAGGAAAAGACACAGCATTATGGAATATCTTTCAATATCTAGTCTATCTCTTAGAGTATTTTAAGAAACTGTATGGACTGACAGACACGTTTAGCATTCAAATACTACGCAAAGGGGTGAGACTGACATTTTAGTCCAGTGAGCACGGTTTCAAATTAATGACAATTTACACTGCAGCTAGCAAACGGTGTTGCTCTTCCTCCATATTAGTGGTGGAGTGATATGGGTTTTTCAAAGGCCAGTGACAATATTTAGAGAGCAGGGTGGCCAATGGCATTCTATATAGTTATATAGTATAGTAGACTATATCAATGTATGTAATCATTTAACTGCATTATTCTATACATTATAACAAAATATACACTGAACAGTAAGAGTTTTAGATTAAATTTGCTGTAATTTATTAGGTTAATTTACAGTAATCAGCCTATTTCTACGCCATTTACATGGCTCATGAGTTCACACAGGAATGCATGTACACACGGACAGGAGGTTGGTATCCAATAATTATCTCTGGGTGTGCCGAGAATAAACTGATACTGTTATTTGTAGTGACAAACTTTTTATCTGTAAAATGTGCCCCCCGTCTTCCTGTGGGTAAGTTATGTTTGTAAGACACAGGAATGCAGCTACACCAAACAACAGATGCATTTAAAATAAAATGTTATGACCTACCAACAGTGAGGCAGATGGCAGCAGAAATCCGGATGTCAAAAGTGGTACGTTTTTAAATTTAGCTATTCTTTGCACTTCATGAGGCACTTTGAAGCAAAATCTAGACATAAGAAATGCACCAAGCCTGTGTGGCGATAAATGGCAACAAATGTGTTTGTCTCTGTAAGGGTGTGGGTAGTTGATCATCACTGGGGACTGAACCATGTGACCAAAGTAAACTCACTTGGTTCTGACATTACATATTACATGTTACAGATTGAACAGACAGAAAAACAGACAAAAAGAACAAGGTCTATTAAATCTGTAACAGCTCAATAAAACACTTTGAAGATAAAAAAAAAAAAACACTTAAGTGAGGAATGCTGTAAATGTGGACTTTATATGAGCAGTTCATTTCTTCCTCTGTTTGTTTATATTAGTCTGTTGGTTCTTCTGTTGGAGTGGATGCTAAAATGAACAAAACCACATTAATCAGAGGCTTCTGGACTAAAAGCTCACTCAACACACAAACGAGCATATAGGCAGACACACATAACCACCAGGCCCAGACATGTAGAGGAAAACACCAGTGTGCTCATTAAAACTGTTGTGTCTCCTGCAGACATCGAGAGGAACACTCTAGTCTAAATGCAATTACCATAGACGATGCTCCGACTCACACAAAGAACCAAACACTGAATCGGATGCAGGTTCAAGCTGGAGGCATTTCATGTGCCACAAATATATTCCAAACAAAGAAGAGCAGGTCAAATATTGCAGTGCCTCAGACCAGGTGAGGAAGCAAGCTGCCAGATTTTGGATAATCTTGATCTGCACTGTGAGAAATCAGTCCCCATCTAGTCTCTGGGAGGGGAGGAAGTTGTCTTGTGTAATTACAGGCTTATAAAGCTCAGAACTGAGGCTTCATTCAGGCTACCTTTCTACCACTCCTGAAGTACACACTTAGGGTTTCTAAACAAACACACACACAAGGCTCAGATTTCCATGGCAAGGTACAAACGAATATCACTGCCTTCAAAAGAGCAGTCTCTCCCGTCCTCATTTGTGTGCTCAGTGACCATGCTCTGTGTGTGTGTTCATGTAGTTTTATGAGCTGTGCTTCATTGGGACCGGGCTGTGTAGTAAAGTAGCTGCTGCCCGTGTGATGACGAAAGAGAGATCACAACACAAAGGGAGTTGTCATGGTAATTTTGGACAGAAATGTCACACTGACCGGATAAAAAGGCAGTTTGGTTCCACTGCCAGCTGACTCTGACCAGTCTACTTTGTAATTTGGCCAAAAGGCTCTTGAGTGTCTGAAATCACTGTATTTAAGAGTATCTGGTTAAAGGACCTTTGCTTGAAAGATCAGAGGAGAAATAGACCAAACCTTAAGTCACCACATCAACTCTCTTTCAAACGGTATCACACCCTACTCAGGTTGCCACTGAAGAACACCTACGTTTTACTGTATGTCTTCGCTCCACTGCAGTACAGGGTGCTGAGGAGTTAATGCAAGATAGGTACATGGTGTGAGCCCTTTTCAATGGCAGCAGGAATGAAGGAGCACAGAAATCCCATCTTTTAACAACAATGCAAGATTTGATGAAGTCAGCAACATTTGGGTCTATAGTACACAGCTATTACCATAATCACCACCCGGGTATGTAATTATGCTGATGCAGGATCAGACCTGGTCAGTGAGCTACTCACAAAGACATCACAACGCTAAATTAAATTGTATAGAAATCCAGTGAAAACTGTTTGGAAAATAAGCTCAGCTATGTCAACTGTTTGAAAATCTTTGAGTAATTGTGAAAAATCACCAGAAAAATGAACACGAACTTCACTTACATGTAATGAAAACTTGCACAAATCAGAAATTGACTGTAAATTACCCCCACTTCATTAGGATAGAAACACTAACATCTATTTCTCTGCATCACAATAACATCTGAAAGGCCAAGATTCGCTTACTTCCCACATAAAACCGCAGTGAATGAGTAGCTTAGCACTGTATGGACACTGCTCCCAACAGTAGCATGTTTTGGCAGATTTACAGTCAGTAATGATACACGGTTATTTGTTGATGTGACAGACTCCAAAGCATGCCATAAAGAAGTGGGGGAAAGCATCAGTGTTGTGCTATATTTGATCTTCTGACTAGTCATAGCAGAAAAAGCACAGGTGTTACAAATCACATTAATGATGGCTCCCCTGTACATTCAAGCGCCCCAGTAAGACAGGACAATGAGCCAGCATGCACAATACCAGGAGCCTAACTGAAGCAGCCCAATGGATCTATTTTAATATTTGCAATTATGTCTTTACTACTGTGACATTTCCAAATATGAAAAGGGACTGAACTGCTCTAAACAGCACAAATTGAAAGCACACTGTGGCACAGAACAACCACACTGCTGCACTATGCGTTTGGTCAGAGCGGGTCATATTGTGAGAGAGTGGCAGAGAGACTGTAACGGAGAGCCGGCTGTGGCTGCTGGAACTCTCTCTGTTGTCCATACTGACTATGGGCCAGGCTACAAGTGTTGTTGTGGACGCTCTCCTGAACCATTTCGAATAGGCGCTGCCATTGGGGCTGCCACTCATTGTGGGCCAAATCATTCTCCAGTTGCTTATTAATGGCACCCTTATTAACAATGATACACAGCCACACGTATGAGCGCAGCTTTCCTATAAATATTTCAGCCACAGCATGTGTGATAAAACAGCCTAATGTAGCTTACTATTGAGCACCCTGACGCACAGATACATATTGTGAACGGATAAAGGAACGGCGCTATAATGGCTATTTATACTACACGATGCACAGACAACAAATGCAACGATACGTTTGCGCAGTTTTAAGCAGCCGCGCAGGTTCTTTTTCCGAGCTGAAATTTGACTAATTGTCTATAAGGTTACTTTAAAGTTACGCAAACTTAACGTTGAAGTCCTTTCATTATCCTGTACTTCTTTTTAAGGACTTACCCCAAAGGCGGTTTGGACGAGTCGGTCATTGCAGTGATTAGATATCCAACTTGAGATGATAGCGGCACTCAAACTGGGCTCCCAAAGTCCGCTGTTGCTCTTAGACTCGGTGGATATTCATTATAATGCTATCACCTGCGAGTTAACACATCAGAGTTGAATTAAATTGCTGCCCTCGAGGTTTTCAAACACATCTCAACCAATAAAGCGGCTAGTTTTTATGTGAAGAGGAGGACAGCTTTGTGTTTTCTATCACAGGTCCAACAAGTGACAGTGCACAGAGATGACAGTCCAGTGTGACCTGAAGCACAAAGACCGCTAAGAGTCCCTGAAAGCTAACTACGACACAAGAACAGATAAATGTTGAGTATTTTGAGTCCAACTTACTTCAGTCAAAACGGTCCTACTGAGTCATTCTCGTGGACTGGGTTACTTGTCAAATCCAGTTGATATAATCTTCGTATCCCCCGGCTGATTTTCCCTTGAGCTTTGTCAAGGTAACGGAATTAACAAACAACACTTCCGGTTTCAAAATAAGGGTTTATAAATAAAATGGCAGTTCACGAACGTGTCTTTGTTTCCCTTCCTTTTGTATCTATAACAAGCCTATGCCATACATACCATAAAACTATCAAGACACGACTCTAGGCGCCTACACTAATATGGTGAAAGGTGCAGACGAAGGTTTTACAGAATAGGATATATGGTGTTACAGCACATAACACTTTTATATTCAGTCCTCTTGCTAATCCACTTATTTGTTTCACATACTTTATTATGTTTATACATAACGTACACAGATCATGCAGTTCGGTGGACTGCCTCTATAACGCCTTTTAAGAAAGTCTATTATTTGGAAGGTAATGCTACATGGTTTCCGGTCTTTTGCAGCTGCGTCTGTCTAACTTGACGCAGCTCTCTCCAGCCCGCCTTCGTCAGCAGCTCTCACGTCAATCATCCTCATTGGGAATTCACTGAGCGCCAGCTGGAGAGCGGCGGCACGAATTTACCACAATTACAACAAAAGTACACTACAAATATACAGAGAAACATACGAACAAAAGGTTAACCCCTTTATTGCATGGTGCTGCCATATGGCGACAATTAATTCAATGGCAGTAATATAGAATTCATGTTTTACTGTTTAGTAGTGAAAAGAGGGGCTTTTGATTTGATAAAAATTACACAACACATCACATGACCAGAACAACCTGTATGCTATTCATTTTTCCCTTCCAAAAGTGAAACTAAACAAAAATCAGGACTGAGGACTCCTAAAGTGGACTAATTCTTCGGTAAAATTCCGTCAAGAAAACAGTTGAACTACTGTCTGAAGTAAATTACCAGTTTGATTTTCATCATTGAAATCAGTTTATATGTGATAGTCATTTTGTAAAATAGTAAAAATGTATTCGTTGCCATATGGAAAATATATAGAATTATGGCAGTATTTGGTATTCAGACTGTAGAGCAGTCAATCCGGGTACTTGGCCTTGCGTCAATCCCAGTTTTACAGTCCCAGTAATTTGATTGGCGGTAAATGTAAATTCCAAGGTTTTTGCCAATTTAATACCCTTGAATAGCTATTAGAGCCACAGTCCTATGGCCTTGTGTCGTTACAGATTAACGATCAGCGTCGTTATATAGAACAAATAAAGAAATAGGGTCTGCCTTTATACTGTCAATGGTCAAAGTGGACGGGCCGGACACATACAGCTACCTTTTTGAAGCTCATATTTCTGACATGTGACACTGTTTCTGACTTTATTTGTCTGTTTCGGTCGCCTGTCCAATGTGACGTTACTATAAACTAACTGCGTAGCTGTGCCGAAGCGGAACCTCCGTTTGTGTTTATTAGTCGACCTTTTATACGAGCCGACAGGAGAAGAAACAGAAATAAGAAGGCAGGTCAGCACAGTTTATGTGAAATATTAAAGTTACAATACCCTCTGCTCCTGACTGTCAAACCAAACTCCATTTTAAAGCGGGTGCTTTATGGTAGGGCTATAGTTTTCCACAGTAAAAACTTGAATCACACCATCACTAAGACTGATTCACTTTAATCTACAATTACAATCGGCACACATGTCATTTACTCAGTAACATCAGCATCTAACCTGTGATAAAGTGTTTGCCACAGACGGACATATACTGTGTGTTCGGGTCCCAAAGTTGACCACTTTTATCCTCTTTGCGGATTGCCTAAAGCCACAGATATTGTCTTTTATTGCGTTTGTTTTCTTACTGTTTGATGCTTTTAGGCATGGTACCGCTAGGCACTTTTACTGCGCTTGTTTCACCCTGAAGGGGGCGTGGTCGTTCTGAGGACAAGAAAGTGACGTATGGCTGCTCATACGTCTAAGAAAATATCTGTGGCACAAAGAGGCTACAATGGTAAAGTGAGGGACCTGGACACGGACACACACTGTGTCTGTGGCATTAACCGCCCCAAAAGAAGGCGGGCTTGACACAAGGTCATAGTACCCGGATGGGTTGCTCTACTCTGAGACTCTGTTTACAACTTTTGATTGCTTTTAAGAGGGAAAAACCCTCATTTTTATCTATATTTTGTCATTTCAGACATTTTGTAACAGTCATTTATTTTCTGGATTACAAATTACACCACTGGAATTAATTGTTATTACAAAAGGAATTGCAATATCCCACCGAAATAATATCTTGGTCAATATATTTATCTTTTACAGGTTGCAAATATACACAGTGATATATAGTCCAGATAGTACATTCATTGGATTGTAGGCAGTATTTTTGTAATGACAGTCCAAATACATTCCAAATAACAATTGAACTAATATTATTTCACTAATTCTATGTTGAATTTGTTTAGTTTTAGTTTTTCATTAAAATAATTTTCATGTTCATGTTTAAATAATTCATTAAGTAGAGGGTTAATATGAATAAGAACTGAACATATAGGCCTAGAGATGTATATTATTAGATATTAGATATTGTGCCATCATTATTGTGATTGTTATTACTATTATTGTAGTTGTTGTAGGCTACGTTTTACATATAAGATAAGAACTTCTGTGATGAGAATTCAGATCTTTTTTTCCATGTTCTCCCAGCATGCTTTGTGCTATCTTGCCCATGCAACGCCTCCCTGCACAACTAAGCTATGATTCTGCACCACAAGAGGTCACTCATAGACCACTCTACACTACTGCAAATCCACCTCTCGATATTGCTCTGGGGTTAGATATTGCATATAGATGGGCAGCATTAGTAATGCTTTATTACTATTGACCAACAGTAATAATGAAAATAAAAAGAAGAAGCAAAAACAATATCAAAAACAGTGCTTTTTGGCTATGTAGTGGCAAGTAGGACACAAATTACATCAATATCAATCAGCTAATCAATCAATCAGACTTTATTATTACAGCATTTTCATAAAAGCAAATGTAACCACATTAAAACAGATAAATTCAAAAATTAATAGATAGATAGAAAATAAATAGAAAAAGGGGATACAGTTATTCATTATTATTATTAGTAGTAGTAGTATATAAAGTAATATCATTACACAGACACCAATTGCCTTTTCATAAATAGTGTTTTGGTATCCTATTGATCTACTGTTCTATTGATCTAATATCTGAACACTAAACAGCAGTGTGAGCAAACACATTAAACTTTTCAACTTAATTAAAGCTACAATCTGTGATGTAAACACAGTAAACAAAAGGGTATCTCTATCACCAAAACTGACTGGAACATACTATTATTGATAGTCAGATATTTTTATATCATACTAAATCTAAATGAGCATTGCTCTGATTTTGCATTGCAAATAAGCACAAGAGCTATAATTCTATCTATAATCAATAATCAATTGGTGAACACATGCATACTTACTGTTAATCAAATACTTAATTTTTGACTTCATTTGTAAAAACAAAAAAAAAAAGTTTAAAATTTTATTTTGTGTAAATGTGAACATCTGACGTGTTTTTGGCGACACAAGTGCATTCTTTGTTTTTAGACAGTCTGTAGAGAACGTGTGAACTTTGAGCTCCTGATAAAGATCTCAAAGTCACACTTAGGGACGTACAGGAAACTAGATCTGCACTTCTCTTTCTGTACTAACCTACTCATTAATAGGGGACTGCTTACATTCAGACAGTTTGTTCATCACTTCACATTTGAGGACATCACATCCATAAAGATCTGGACAGAGGAATAAGGAGCCCTGAAGTGCTGTTGACTATACCTGACAGGAAAAGGAATAACTGAGATATCACCATGGAAGGTGAATGTATTTAACTTTTTTGTTGTTGTTGCATAGTGTACAGTATACTTATCCATGTATTATTGATTTGATGAAATATTTGTGTCTGATCATTTGATGCCGTAATATATTGCTAACAGTTTTATGTCTGCATTCCCTTTAAATCCAAATGCTGTAACGCAGTATATTTCATAATTTATTTGGATTTCCATTTTGATCTTTATAAAATATCATCTTTAAGTCCTGAGATTACAAAAATTGCTTGTGACGATGAAGACACAAAATGTCGGTTAGTAATCAAAAGTCTTCAAAAACTGTCCTTTATGCTATTTGTATTTGTCAAACATTATAGCACACATATACGTACAAAATAACAGTTTAGAAGAATTAAAATCTGAATTAATTACAATTTCACGGAATGAAAAATCTAAAATAATCGTATATGTGGATCATATCTAAAACATATCCTTATAAGCAAAATAGATCAAATAAAACAGAAACTTGTGATGCACCGGCAGAAATTAGTGGGGATAGGATAGTAACAATATATGGCAAATTGACTGTTAATACACATTTAACCTCCTATGAACACAAACGTGTTTGCATTGGTGATGTACAGTCATAAAGGTGTTATATTGTTTTGTCCTCCCCTTGTAGAGTAACATGCAGGCCTAACAAATTATTCTTGCAAGGGAGTAAAATGCCAGTAAAGGCCAGCAGGTGGCACAGTTAATGAATGAATCCATTTTACAGATAATCACACTCACTTGCAAGTAGATTTGGTTACATTTATTTTATTTATCCAGTTTTATTTCTGTTTTGAGATATCTATCTCTGTGATTTCTGCCTCTACACCAATATAGTGAAATTTAGTTGTGGTGCTCACAGGGCTGATATTTAAAAACTTAATCATGTCCTTCCAGACACAGCAGCATTGATCATAACAGACAGACCTCTCTCTCAATTGGAAGTAAAGTCTCTAAAACCTTTTTTAAACAGTTTGTTTGAAAGGTGGTAAATAAAGTTAGATTGATTGATTTCTTCCGAAAACATAGTCACATTGAATTGTCAAGATGATAATAGTAGTCATTTTAAATGTCATTTCCCAATGCTGTGAGCACTTAAATATAACAACATTTGTCAGAATCAGAATCAGGTGTATTAGTAGGTTTTCATATACAAGGAATTTGCCTTGGTATATTTATTTACCAATATATTCATAAATAAGATAAAAATAGAGACAATAAAAGGAGCCAATATATACAAACATAAAAAGAGAATATGTCTAGTATGGCCAGATACTTAAATAAACAAGGGAAGTGCTGTTCAGAAATGTGCAATAAAATGTGCAAAAAAAGTGTTTAAAGGTAACCGGGCTGTTGATGTAAGTTATTATACAGGAATATCTACAATAAGGTTAGAGTCTGTGAATGATGAAATTGACAAAATGTACATATTTTTTCTTTGTCTGCAGGTACAAATGATACTTTGTATGACTATACACAATATTACGACGAGTCGGATTTATTCGCTCCGTGCAACTCCGTGGATGTGAGGGATTTTGGCATGGTGTTTCTGCCCACTCTCTATAGTTTGGTTTTCATCCTCGGCTCCATAGGTATGTGGGCTGTGTGTGTGTGTGTGAGAGAGAGAGGGGGAGAGA